GCCACCCACCTTGAGATATAAGTTCTAAGATCTCAGTATAGTTACAACGGCTGCCCCGCCCTTCAAACCGAAACGCATTACTGCTTCACAGCTGAAATAAGCAGGGTGGTGGTACCTACCCGTGCGGACTCATAAGAGGTCCCACCACCAGTAAAGTTTTGTGCAATCTTATTGGTTAATATTTCTCAGTTTCTCCGCTCCGCTGCCTCGCTCCGCTCCAGTGGACAGACAGCCTAAAGGTACCAACGAATAGGGAGGGGAAAACTAATATATAATAATTACTATTCGAAATGTGGCACGGCCTTTCTATTGTAAAATTTAGGCTTACGCCATCTCACCATGGATCGCGACTTTAACATTGAAATTGACCTCTAAATTAACTACAATCGTTTTGCCCAAACTCAGCAGTAACACTCTATATGCGTGCATTCGTTATGACGGTACATGGTAAACAGTCGACGTCGCCCTAAACACGTCATTTCGGATCCTCCCAATCCACGAACAGTTCTTTTAGGTAGCACCGGTCACTGTTCTCGTCGAACCTCTCTTGCTACGGTTAGTGCTAGCAACGTCCTCAGATTCGAGCCCCGTGAGCTCATCTACTTGTTCTGTGAATCTAGAATGACCCCTTGAGGTTACTTGAATAGGTAGGAACAAAAAAAAGACACAGCAGCTCAGCTATTACAGAACACGAGATATTTGACAGATGTCTGAATCTTGTCAACAACATTTTCAAGATAGGTTTGCGTATTTCCTTAAGTACCGATCAGCTACCGAGCAATTTCGCCTGCCCGATGGAAGATCTTCCCTTCTTTATTTTTTTTCCTACCTATGCTGATGGCCTTGAGAGGCTATTTCAGTGTAACTAGTAGGTGAGCTCACGAGGCTCAAACCTGACGACGTTGCTAACACGAACGCNTCTGAATCTTGTCAACAACATTTTCAAGATAGGTTTGCGTATTTCCTTAAGTACCGATCAGCTACCGAGCAATTTCGCCTGCCCGATGGAAGATCTTCCCTTCTTTATTTTTTTTCCTACCTATGCTGATGGCCTTGAGAGGCTATTTCAGTGTAACTAGTAGGTGAGCTCACGAGGCTCAAACCTGACGACGTTGCTAACACGAACGCTAGCAAGAGCCTTGTATCGCAGATTCTACCACCGGATCGGAAACGCGACCCACTGAGAAGATCCGGCGAGAAACTCAATGGGCTGTGTCTGTGGGTTAATTTACTCGTCGAGCCCTTCATCGCAAGCGACGGGTCCGACGAGAGCGATGACCGGTGCTTGAGGTACCTAAAAGCACCGTTAGTAGTAGATCGGGAGCCTCTGCCCTTCGACGTTAAGCTACCAAACGCCAAAACCGGTCACTGTGGCCGCATCATCAACATCAATTTAAGTCGAATCAGAATCGAAAGTGTATTGTATGTTCATTACATAAAATAAAAGAAGTGTTATTATAATTTTTATGAATCAAACCCATTACACTCACTTTCTTGTTTGCGAGTTCGTAATTTCTTTATAATTTTTATCTGTACTACTTTTAAGTAATATAAGTAGGGTACAATTTCGATAATTGGACCAAATTGGTAGTAATAGTTAGTAGTAATAATAATTAGGATGAAATTAGTAATAAGCGTTGCTAAGTTCCCACATATTACTTAGTCTGGCCATAAATACTGTTACAATTAAAAATAAACAAAATATTACATTTGAATTTGGAATCTGTAATTTTTATATGGTTGCTCATTGAATTTTCTCATATTGGCGCCAATACATTGTACAATATTTTGCGATAATAAAATGGAGTGGGGTGATAAAGAGAACCGAATCGCTGTGATTGCATTACACAAAGTAGGTATGGAGCCAAATGCAATTTTTTAAATTTTTCCCATGGAAAGAATGCGTGCTTCTATTGATAACTGGCCTCAACGTTTAAAAGACTGTATTTCAGCCAATGGAGACAACTTCGAATAAGCTATTTATACTTTAAATTGTTTTATATTTATGTATTAAACTAACACACTGTAATAAAAGTAATAAATGTTATTTGCAACAGAATTTTTTTTATTTTTTATTGTAACAGTATTTAATGCCAGACTAAGTATATATAGTTATATATACTAGCTGTACCCGTCCGCTTCGCTGGGCATTTAAAATTAATTATTATTATTTCTCACCCCCACAAAGATACTCATCATTAACGCCCCCGCAACTGGTGTAGGGAGTCCAACAATCATATACATACTAGCCTATCCATTAAGTACGTGTATTTTCTACACGGATACCAAGTTTCAAGTCAATCGGATGCCTGGTTCGGTAGTTATAACGGAACATACGTAAAAACCACTGTAGATTTATATATTAGTATAGATGTGATTTGGTTTTTATATACCTCTATAGTTTCATTGTTCTTCTGATGAACGAACGTTTTCAACTTAACAGTTCTTTTTCTTTCACCGACACGTAGTACATAAGTTCTTACAAAGAAGGGGGACATTGAGGAAAATCTTCGGTCTCTTTCTGTTTTCTTTTTATAACCGAAAATTATAATAACAAAAAGAATCCGAAAACAAACACTTCCACGGCCATTAGCCAGTGACTCACGTGCGTAATCATAATATAAAAAGTGAAAACTTACCGAGCGAGCCGGCGTAAATCTTGGACATCATGTGACCACACGAGATGTCGCATAATAAAAATGAAACCCGCAAAAAATATAATTTGCGTAATTACTGGTGGTAGGACCTCTTGTGAGTCCGTGCGGGTAGGTACCACCGCCCTCCCTATTTCTGCCGTGAAGCAGTAATGCGTTTCGTGGTTGAAGGGTGGGGCAGCCGTTGTAACTATACTGATACCTTAGAACTTATATCTCAAGGCTGGTGGCGCATTTACGTTGTAGTTGTATATGGGATCCAGTAACCACTTAACACCAGGTGGGCTGTGAGCTCGTCCACCCATCTAAGCAATAAAAAAAATTTGAATTTTTTATCTCCATTCTCTTCTATCAGCTGTCATCTCAAAACTCACTCCTCTCTCTCTCATATCGTCATTCACACACTCCATCCATTGTTTCTTCGGTCGTCCTCTCCTCGTCTATCTTGCACTACCATTTCCATACACCTCCTAGTCACATGCATCCGTAAAACCACAGAGCCTCGGATTTACTGAGGGCCACGTCGAGACCCAGCCTCTTGATCATCCCGACGACGAGGGCCACTCCCGCTGTGGCGAGACGGGCAGACTCCCTATAATCATCCGCCCGGGCCACGACCAACGTGTCGTCCGCGAAGGTTACTGACCACTGAACCATCAAAAAAATAATTACAGTACAACAATCATTATGCACGGTCTAATTGGCTAGCTATTTTGTAAGACTCAGATTTCATAAAACTTAATTAAATTTAATGTGACCGAAGAAGCATTTCAAAAATTTGGTTCACGGCTCAACTTGGATGTCCACTGTCCACATATATCAACTTCCCTATCTCTGTCTAACACGAACTTTAGAAGAGGATGAAAAATCCGTCAAATTAGCGGTAGTTTGTGGGGAATGATACAAAATTAACACGTCTTCCATGCCGGAATCCTACATAATCATCACGAACCTCATCAACCACAACCGTATTCATTTACAATACTCAACCTCAATACGTCCTAAAGACAAGGCCTTTATTGGACAGTCCTCACCGCTGTAGTTATGTTTTTGTTGTACGTCAAAAGACGTCAAACATTTGTTCAATGAATATCCACTGGGCATACGAAATAAGGGTCACTATGCGTACGTAAAGCAAGTGTTTTGCAACAAGTGAAAGCCACTTCAGAGCCACTCCAGTCGCTGTACCGGAGCCTGCCACACGACAACATGGTGAGACCATTGTTCGCTTATTTGCTTCCTAATAACAGTTTTATTGACGTAGTAGACCAGTGTTTCCCAACCTTTTTTGTGACATGCCCCACTGCAACACTTTTTAAAATGATTATGCCCCCTATACATAATTTTTGCGATAAAAAAATTGATTTGGTCACTTAAGAAACATAAATGATTGGTTTTAGGAAGAAATCACTATGAAATTGTTATCAGAACACGGTAAGTATTATAATATTTTAAGCCATATAATAAAAAAACCTGAAATTCAAATTCAAAATAATTTTAATAATTCTATATTAATTTAGTGCGATTGCCCCCCTTAATTATTAAATTGCCCTCTTGTCGGGCGTGGGCCCCACGTTGGGAAACATCGTAGACCATCCAAGCAATCAAATCATTTAAAAAGACTTAACTCAATATTTCGGTGCTTGAATTTGAAAACTCTTTTTCTTATAATATTTGAAGATCCAACGGCCCAATTATTTTAAATTTGTCAAAACGCATTCCCTGCGTAACTATTGTAGTCTAATTTGTTTTTGTTAACATAGTTTGTTTACATAGACAAATTCTGAATAAAGCTAAAAGCTTTATTCTCCAACCAACTTTATAATGATACAGGCATTAAAAGAAAAACAATAAATAGACAAAACGACTCCGAGACAAAAAGTCTAGGATTTTTATCAAGAGAAGAATTTAGAGCTTAAAATATGCAATCACGCGCATAATCATTTCATGAATTTTATAATTAATTGAACGATTACAAAAATTATTGGACTAAAGTTACTGATCGTAAGCGACATTTTCTACTTTCTCGCCTTAGAAGACTACTTCTCTAGCCAAGTGGCGGCATTCATATATGTCTATGGGCTCCGCTAACCACTTAACACCAAGTGGACAGTGAGCTCGTTACTTCAATTGCAATTAAAATAAAAAAGACATCCACAAGGCTAACTTGCATTAGACGTTAAGACAGCCGTTGCATTCTACTAGAGACTGGTAATATAATCGAGACCTCAATCTTGTGTCTCAAATTGAGCAATAGTATTAACATCATGACGTTACAGGGCTGATCTAATAAGACGGGTCATCTTCGTAGAGCTAAAAAAATACCCATCAATATGTGGATCAGAAATGGTTTTCTTACAGCAAAATAGATCCTTTCTACACACTTTTCTGGGGATCAAAGAAGATCCGATCATAGTATAACGTCTAGAACTTTCGGTCGCATCTGTCTAGTGTCGTGTTACCATCCCGATCCGACTCACACAGCAGCCAACTAAGCCAAGTCTTCGTCCTCCCAAAAGGACGTCCAACCGCAATCGATTGACGTTAAAAAAGTTTTAACATCTTATATCTTTTATACTCTAAGCTCCTATAACCTGTGGCGGGTAGCCATCTTACAACGCAAGATATTTGACAGATGCCTGAATCTCGCTTACGACATTTTCAACATAAGCTTGCATATATACAAGTTCCGAACAACAACATTCGGACCGTCGGTCTACCGAGCAATATCACCCGCTCGGTGGAAGAATCTTTCCTTTCGTCGCCTCCCAAACTGGTGACGCCGACGACAACATTTGGACCGATGTGGTCGGATTAACTGAACAATATAAATCGTCATAAAATAAAAAACAAATTATGATAGACCCACAAGTCGTCGTGGCCTAAAGGATAAGACGTCCGGTGCATTCGTATCGAGCGATGCACCGGTGTCCGAATCTCGCTGGCGGGTACCAATTTTTCTAATGAAATACGTACTCAATAAATGTTCACGATTGACTTCCACGGTGAAGGAATAACATCGTGCAGTAAAAATCAAACCCGCAAAATTATAATTTGCGTAATTACTGGTGGTAGGACCTCTTGTGAGTCCGCACGGGTAGGCACCACTGCCCCGCCTATTTCTGCCGTGAAGCAGTAATGCGTTTCGGTTTGAAGGGTGGGGCAGCCGTTGTAACTATACTGAGACCTTAGAACTATATCTCAAGGTGTGTGGCGCATTTACGTTGTAGATGTCTATGGGCTCTAGTAACCTAAGTGGTTACACCAGGTGGGCTGTGAGCTCGTCCACACATCTAAGCAATAAAAAAATAAAAAATAAAAAAAAAAACATATTGACTTTGACAGAAAGAACTAAAAAAGCACTTCTCACGTCACTTCTCAGGGTGCATCACAGAGCGAGCCAGTGAACATCTCCAAGGCAGAGCTGGTGAAAAGGATCAAACGCAGACTATCGTCAGTCGACGTTCAGAAAGCGAAGGAAGTCGGAGGGATATTCGCCTTTCACGTCATCAAGGGAACTTCTGTCTATTCTTGGAGTGAGTACCATTATTAATATCATTGTCCAACTTTATCGTGTACAATCAAAGCTATAATTTTAACTACATTGTGACATTCGACAAATCTAAAGCTTACGTTTAATGGTAGGCAGCGGCTTTGGCTGTGCCCCTGGAATTGCTGAAGTCCATGGCCTATGTCCAGCAGTGGGCAGATAAAGGCTGATGATGATGATGATGATGATGGGCGACGGTAAGCACTCACCGTCAGGTGGGCCGTACGCTCGTCTACCTAATAGGGCAATAAAAAAAAACCTGTCTATTACTCTCGTACCATCTGATGACGCTATGACAGAAATCTGTCTTGTAGTGCCAATTGACAAGTTAGTTAAGAACAAACATTAAATTTACTGGTGGTAGGACCTCTTGTGAGTCCGCGCGGGCAGGTACCACTACCCTGCGTATGTCTACCGTGAACTATGCTTGAAAACTTGAACTTATATCTCAAGGTGGGTGGCGCATTTACGTCGTAGATGTGCATGGGCTCCAGTAACCATTTAACACCAGGTGGGCTGTGAGCTCGTCCACCCATCAAAGCAATAAAAAAACATACAATTTTCATAGATTAGACGTGGTGATTTCATCCAAAGTTGATAATAAATTATAATTTTGATAATATCCGTCATAGGCACTTACAAATCTATCATCGACTCAGTTCTAAACCGGTTATCGAACCGGTTACGTTTACGGAACCGGTTAAACAAACTCATAATTTAGATTATTTATTATCCGATAGGCGGTGGCTTGACAGTGTCACTGTCAAAGCTGATGTTCATAAGCGATGGCTTCTCATGCTGTAGCTCATATTCAGGTGTAAATAAGGGAAAAAGGGAAAAAATATAACGTAGAAATAAGTACCAAAAACGTCTTCTACAATCCTTTTTTTTTTACTGCCTAGGTGGGTGGACGATATCACAGCCCACCTGGTGCTAAGTGGTTACTGGAGCCCATAGACATCCACAACGTAAATGCGCCACCCACCTTGAGATATAAGTTCTAAGGTCTCAGTATAGTTACAACGGCTGCCCCACCTTTCAAACCGAAACGCATTACTGCTTCACGGCAGAAATAGGCAGGGCGGTGGTACCCACCCGCGTGGACTCACAAGAGGTCCTACCACCAGTAAAACTAAAACTATAATACTAGCACTCCCATTGAAATTAGATGGATAAATCTAACCTTATTTTCGATCAAATTGAAGCCAACAGGTTGTGTTTCAATAACCCTATTCACGAGTATATTCAAACGCTAATCTAGTTTAGCTTAACATACATTCTTTATTTTCTTTGACCGCTACGTACTTGACACTTTGAGGTCATCCTCGCGTCAAATTGACGGATGTTCAACTAAAATTAATGATGTTAATGAAAAATTTAAATAGGGCTGCCTTAAGAATTTTTGAAAAAAACAAGTTCTCGGATGTAACGACAAAAATATACCAATCACTATATGCCTACTTACTATCAGGTCAAAATCGTAGGCCCTAAAACAAAATGGCTGCCATTGCTTGTAAAAAACATTTATAATACCTCAATGTACCGGTTGTATAGCGTTGTGTGACCTCGCACGGGTGGGTAACATCATCCTGCCTATCTCTACCATCAAGCAGTAATGCGTTTTGATTAGAAGGGTGGGGCAGCTGTTATAATGTATAATTGAGGCTTAAAACTCATATCTCAAAGTGGATGGCGGCATTTACGTTGTAGATGTCTATGGGCTCAGGTGACAGTTTAAAATTAAATATAAGAAAAAAAATTTTTTTTAAAAAAAGGCCGCAATTTTTCTCGCAGCCCTAGCGATGAAAGTAGAGATCGCCAGAGGGCAGATGCGTGCATGGCAAAACGATTATATATCTTACTTTGTGAAAGTAATCACTGGTAAAAATAACGGTTTCTTCTTACAATTCATTATAATTAGTTTTCGTTACGAATGGAACACAAACTTACAATTATTTAAAACTAGCGATCCACCCGCGCTTCACTTCGGGAACTGTAATTTATTATTGATCTATTGATTATTGATCTGAATCTGATCGTGACAAAAACAAACACAATAAAAAAAAAGTAAGGAAAAACAAACAAAAAATCTAATCTTTCCTCTTCTTATATTTATGGTTCACTATTTTGGCGATTACGGCTTAAAGATAAAAGATAGATATATGCTCTCACGGGCTTTTTTGTAAGACTATTTTAAATAACCATTTCCATTTTACATTACATACGTGTAACTCCAACAGTTTTTGCGGCGCATGTCAGAATAGTTCGCAGATGGCAGATTTTTTTTCCTTCTCACTTGACACTTAATTATACATATACACACATAATTTTCATGTTGTATTTGTTATTTTAGCTGTTCTACATACACTCATCACGTTTAATTATAAATTATTATTCTCATAATCCTCTCGCAGGTCTGCTGGAAGAGATTTCTTAAAGAAATAAGCAGTGCCTTTGTACATAATTTTCCTTTTACTCTGTACTATGCCTTCCTTTTTGTGTGTACATAAATAAATAATTAAATAAAAACTTATCGTTATATTTTAGGTAATTCACATTATATCTTCATAAATTATAGTCTATGTGTCATTCTGATGTATAAGCTACCGTAGTAAAGTTTCGTCAAAATCCATTCATTGGTGTTGACTTGATAAAACAGTAACAAACATACATCCATACATTATTATAAACGTGTTTTTTTTATTGTTTAGGTGAGTGGACGAGCTCACGGCCCAACTGGTGTTAAGCGGCTACCGGAGCCTATAGAGATCTACAACGTATGTTCCGCCACCTGAGGGCAGTCATTGTAACAATACTGAGACCTTAGAACTCATATCTCAAGGTGGGTGATAATGAGATAGAGATGTCTATGGGCTCCGGTAACCACTTAACATCAGGTGGGCCGTGAGCTCGTCCACCCGCATAAGCAATAATTGTTGTTGCTCGTGGTCACTATTATATTAAACTTGTATCGAATATGTAAGCCTAGGTATATAATCTGATTAACAGTCCCAACGAATCAATCGCACGGATTTTCAAAACCAAAAACATTCTTCTCATTCTAGCACTCGACCTGAACGCGGTAACAGTTTACGAGGGCGAACCCGAAGACGAACCTGACACTGTCTTCACACTCACCGAGCATTACTTCAAGCAGCTCGTCCAAGGGAAGGAAGATCCAAGATCGATAATGCAGGCAGGACGGTGTTCAGTCACCGGTGACATCATGAGGGCAATGAAACTTGAACCTTATATTAGGCTAGATTAAGTTAATTATAACCTGACACATTAGTATGCGACCGCAAAAAAAAAGGACTGGTAATTGTAATTATTTATGAAGTCTACAGAAAGGAATTCCTCCTCGCGTCGTTCTCCTCATTACCGAGGGTCGTGTCTCTTCCGCTGCATCATTCTCTCATGTACAATTGTTTTCCATCTGCTGCGATCATTGGCTTCGTAGAAGGCATCGTCTGGCCCGGTCACCGAACGACGCCGGTGGTTAGCCGGATTGCCCAACAAACTTGCTGTGTCAATCGTACTGTAGTTAACATAATCAAGTCGTCGTGGCCTAAAGGATAAGACCTCCGGTGCATTCGTGTTGAAGCGATGCACCGGTGTTCGAATCCCAGGTGGGTACCAATTTTTCTAATGAAATACGTACTCAACAAATGTTCACGATTGACTTCCACGGTGAAGGCATAACATCGTGTAGTAAAAATCAAACCCGCAAAATTACAATTTCCGTAATTACTGGTGGTAGGACCTCTCGTGAGTCCGCGCGGGCAGGTACCACCACCCCGCCTATTTCTCCCGTGAAGCAGTAATGCGTTTCGGTTTGAAGGATCGGGCAGCCGTTGTGACTATACTTGAGACCTTAGAACTTATATCTCAAAGTGGGTGGCGCATTTACGCTGTAGATGTGTATGGGATCCAGTAACCACTTAACATCAGGTAGGCTGTGAGCTCGTCCACCCATCTAAGTAATAAAAAAAAACTTACATTAAGGGAGTCACCTACAATTGTTCTTCGATTAAAATATAGTTTTCAAATGTTACTTTCATATTGATTTACTGATAAAAATAAAAGTATTCTGAACGCGAATTGAAAAGAAATGTATCAAAAAAGTAAATTATTTAAGATTAGGATTAAATAAATACAGATTTGTTTGATTTTTGTTTTTTTTATACCTTTCTCTTGATAATAATAAACTGGAAAATGCTTTTAGCACGTGTTGAGCACCCTTACGACTAGGTGCCAGCCATCCTGCCTATTTCTACCGCAAACCAGTAATGCGTTTAGTTTGAATGGAACTACTACTACTATACAATACCTCGGGTATTACCGCGAGGGTCGGCATTCGGAATATGATGACTACATGTTCTGGTAACTGTTTAACACTAAGTGGGCTAATGTCCATATCTGCAATTAACAATATTATTTTTCAATAACTGAACGCATATCAAGCAAGTGCCTTATTTCAAACGAAAACTTTTTGTATCAGAACAGTTATTTTTTCTACCTATGCTGATAGCCTAGAGAGGCTATGTCAGCATAACCGGGCGAGTAGGTCAGCTCACGGGGCTCAAACCGGGAGTGTTGCTAAGACTGGCCCTAGCAAGGGCAGTGTTTCGCAGAATCTACCACCGGATCGGAAACGCGACCCACTGAGAAAATCCGGCGAGAAACTCAGTGGGCTGTGTCTATGGGTTAGTTTACTCGTCGAGCCCTTTGTTGCGACCGGTTCGGCGAGGACGGTGATCGGAACAGAACAGTACCACACGTCTAGACCACAACCACAGACCACATTTAACTAATAATTTAATCAATGTTAATTTAAAATCATGATATTGTGGTTAATATTTCATCTCATTTAATTTGCCAATCTATTTTAGAATTTTAATGTTTCTCCTCTCGGAGACCCGTTTTGTAATTAGAAATAAAAACATGCCCACGGATTTGCATGTATTTAATATGAATCGATTTTAAAGACAAATGTTTGTCCGCGTGTAATTTTTATGATTTTTTTTTATTGCCTTAATAGGCAGGCAGACGAGCATACGGCCCACCTGATGGTAAGTGGTCACCGTCGCTCATGGACGTCAGCAATGCCAGGGGCAGAGCCAAGCCGCTGCCTACCGTGGACAAACCGTACAATTATTAAAGGTTTAATTTGAAAGTCCAGTGCCTACCGCTTAATATTTTTCACAAGACTTGTTTACAGAAGGACATAGCACTCGGGAAACACCGTGGAGGGGAGCTCAATTCATAGCTGGATGGTACGTGGCAAAAAACATCTCCCGAAACGCACTGTGGATGACCGCAGTGGCTCCAGGTAGTATGGGTTAACTCTACTCCGATGGCGGGCGGTGCGATGGTAAAAATGAGATGAGGGTATCTCAAACAATTCCTCAAAGCACTCCCCATGGAACATTGGTTACAAAACACAGGATTAGGATTTACTGATAAGATTGCCGGTTAAAAGACACACACTAACTTAATTGCTAGAAGTGGCAATTGCTCATGGGGTACATAACATCTGCCCACAGCAATGGTACCTACCGAATGACGAGCACGACCGCTCTGACAAGAGTGACACGACAAGGAAAAAACTTAATTACAGAAAGAGGTTTCAGTAAACACATATCATAGAATTTTGTCTTAATTAAAAATGTTTTAAAATAGAAATATTGTAGATAGGCGGTCTTTAATGAAGCGAACGTGGTCTGAAGATTATAATGTTTGAATCGAGCGATGCAATGCAACTTAAAATTAAGAAATGATAAAAAATATTTATAATATTATAGTAAATATTCCTTTTAATACTGTATAAATTATTATATTATATATTTATACATGTATATGTATACGTATACGTGATTTTGTATATTTATATATGTATTGTGTATGTATATGTAATTTAATATAAATTTCATTGCACCTACCACTATTTACTCTACACTATCTTTGGTTGACTGGTAGAGAATGCCTTAAGCATTGAGTCTGCCAATGAAAATTTTACATGAAGTGAAATAAATAAATAAATAAGTTTCATATATATATATCTAATACATAAATATTAAATACACATCCTATACTCAGACGTTAACTTTGAGATATAATTTAATATGCATTAGTAGATCTTTAGTACTTTCTTTGATTCTAAGTACTAAGCAATTGAAGTAATTATAAATATAATATAAATATTTACTAACAATCACGCCACGTTAATTGGTCCCGTGATAAGTTCGTAAAGAATTTGTGTTACAGGTACCAGATATCGGAAATAAATGTAAGATTTTTATTATACACAAACATATATTTAATATACATCCAATCCCTGGAAAAGACATTTATATTTATCATACAAATATCTTCCCTTGGCGGGATTCGAACCCGCGACCCCCTTGTGTAGTGACCATGTCACTTACCACTACACCAGACGGCCGTTAATTAAGTAATTAACTTGGATTTCAGATCCCAAGGTGGCCGAATCATCAAGGTTTGGAGTTCATCTTGCAAGCTTGAGTCTTTCTAAGATAAAAATAAAAAAAGCCACTAGAATTTTTTCAAGAATTTTTCAAGAATTTTTTAAAGAATTTTTTCAATTTTTCTGACTCTACTTAAGATATCAAATAATTCAAGGGAAGCCGCAAACAGATGTAATGTCAGGGCCGTAAGGTGTGTGACCGGGGTCAACGAACGGCGGTACCGTTCGCAAAACCAGTCCATCGGCCAACGAGCCATCGCGATTAGTTAATGGCATGTTTATCTTCACGCTCCAGATGTTATCGGGTAGACAGGGAGCGAGTACATTTTTACGTGCAGCTCGTTCTAATAACTCTGCGTACGGTTTGTATTTTAATGCAAGTTTACGTGAGTGCCATTTGACAACACTAAAAAGCTTTTATCCACTAGTTATATATGAATGTATGTCTGTTTGTGCGTAACGTAATCTTGTGAACGTCATTTTCATCGACATCAGCTTAACTTGAAAATTTTGCACACGCATCAAGTACCGATTACAGAACAATAATTTTATAAATTAACTCTAATATCCTGACTGGTTGGTATTAAGAAAAAAAGTAGAAATTTATTGTTCGTTCTACATAGACTGGTCTTGCTAGGTATTTCTAAGGAGGTCGCGATACCGATTCGGCGGTAGATTCGGCGAAGCATTACGCTTGCTAGGACTGATGTTAACAGCTCATACTGAGCTCCATACGCTCGCCTCCCAGAATAGCTTCTCTAAGCTACTAGTACTCGCCGGATCGTCTCAGTGGGTCGCGATTCCGATCCGGTAGTAGATTCAGCGAAGCACTGCTCTTGCTAGGGCTAGTGTTAGCAATTATCTCAGGTTGAGCCGTTAGCTCACCAGCGGGTCGGCGTCAAATTGGAATAGCCCCTTACGCTACCAACGATTAGCTAGGGGGGAAAAGGGAAAAAACAGCTACTGGTTTTTAGGTAGAGAAAAAAACGCTTCAAACAAGTCGAGCTATATCTGAGTCGTCTATTATCAAAGGTGGCAATCTGTGCATTTAGACAAAAAAAAATTATTGATATGTCAATACAGATTTATTTGAATATAATCGTCTCCTTCAAAGAATACGGTTCAAAACCTGCATTAAATAAAGGTTAATAGTTAACCTGTTATTTATCTAAGATGTCGTTCTGAAGAGTTTTGTGACTGCCAATGGAATACAAAGTCAATAATTCGTTTTTCTGATTTACCAATCATTGTCCAAAAGTCAGATTGCCGCCTTTGATAATAGTCGACTCATCTAACTTAAATTAGAACGTAAATGAATGTAATTTTCTGAAATTTTCCACATTTATCGAGGCTACGTACATTATTGCCAATTATCCAGCAATAGAATGCACTTTAAGAAGTTTAAGGACAACCGGACTGGCCCTTGAGACAAGTATCCTAAGGCACACGAAGTACAGGCATTTAGAAAAGGTTTTCAGACAATTAGATAGACTGAAAAAGTTATATAGCTCTCGCTTTGTACTGAGTTCCCACTTTTTTATATTCCGTTCTCTCCGCAAAAAAAATACAATGTGGACTAGGATTTTCGATGTTCGCCAAACCGTAAAAGCATTAGTACTAATCATACCAACACTTACTGGTACCTATTTCTAGCATAGCTGGTAGATAATGGTATACGGCAAGTATTACTCAAAATAAATAAATAAAAGAGTAATAACTATACATTCATTGGTAAGAAAATGCCATGAATTCAAATGTGCAAAAGCAATAAGATGATATGTGCATTTTCAACGCAAAAGTTCAAAATGGGTCATTTGACCCATTATGGTATGTTTATGTCAAGGTAAGGGATAAGTAATTTTAAACTTAATTTTACAGTGATAATTTTCGTATATTACAATTTCCAACGAATACTCTTGTACATTGTAACTGTTGCGAATAGATACATACATAATCATAATGAATACGAGATTGTTTTATTTTGTTTGTCATCTTTACTGTGTTTCGAATGTACATTTGAATGAACACAGGGCAGTTTAGTGAGACCCCAGGGCCAACATAACTGGAATACATACAGTTAAAAAGAACTAACTCGGTATTTTAAGGCTTTACAAGCACCGGTCACAGTCCTCATCGAACCCGTCGATCGACGAGCGAACTAACCCATAGACATGGCCCACTGAGTTTCTCACCGGATCTCCTAAGTGGGACTCGATTCCGATCCCGTGGTAGATTCAAGATTCTTGAATTCTTGAAGCACTGTTCTTACTATTGCTAATGTTAACAAATTCTCTCATATTGAGCCCGTGAGCTCACTTACCCGTCCGGGAGAAGCTAGAATAGCCCCTTAGGCCACCAACGAATACGTATCGGAAAAAATAACGAATAAAACAATAAATTCATTTCACATATCGACAATATCAATATCGCCAAACAGTAACTAGGTACATAATTTGTTTGTTGTACATAATTTGTTGAATAAATTGTTTAATTGAAATTTCACGAACGAAACTTTTTAATCAACAAACGGTATACTACTTTTATGTCAGCCTTTTTTTTCCTACCTATGCTGATAGCCTTGAGAGGCTATTTCAGCTTCTCCTTGACGTGTAGGTGAGCTCACGGGGCTCAAACCGGGAGTGTTGCTAACACTGGCCCTAGCAAGAGCAGTGCTTCGCAGAATCTACCACCGGATCGGAAACGCGACCTACTGAGAAGATCCGGCGAGAAACTCAGTGGGCTGTCAGCCTATTAACCAAGTTTAGAATAGCTCAGGTACAGTTAAAATAAGCCATAAAATATTGTAGCACATCACTGTGCGATTGTACCGGTTGATCCGCCGCCTTAGACTTAATTCTATCATAATATTCAGTCCTGAGAACCGCTGGACGCAAGACGGACGACATTACAAAACTTAATAAAATTTTATAAGTGCATTAAAATGGTGGACTCGAAAATATTTGCTCTTGTACTTGCTTGTACATTTGCTGTTGGTTATGGTAAGATTGATTTTATTTATTTATNCTGTGCGATTGTACCGGTTGATCCGCCGCCTTAGACTTAATTCTATCATAATATTCAGTCCTGAGAACCGCTGGACGCAAGACGGACGACATTACAAAACTTAATAAAATTTTATAAGTGCATTAAAATGGTGGACTCGAAAATATTTGCTCTTGTACTTGCTTGTACATTTGCTGTTGGTTATGGTAAGATTGATTTTTATTAATTTTTTTATTTGAAATAAATAGAAGCTCTCGTTTAGATAATGGTAAAATCCAACTGGGTTGAATTAAGTTTAATTTACCTTAAATAAACATCGCCAAAACAAGCAAATACATATTTCCGTGGTTTAAAAAAACATATGATCAAAGTTTTAATATAAAAATAAAGACCTGAAATTTAAACCATAAAAATACAAACCAAACAATAATGATCAACCGCTGTGATTAGATCTTCAAAAAGTAATAAATGGAAAATGCATTTTACACGTTCTCTTCATATGTAATAATATCTTAATATATCCGAAACTTTGAACACTAAATTTTCTTTGTCTATTCAGCAAAAAATTTAAGCGAAGAATTTGCAATAAGCTGTTATTTCTAAATGAATAATAAGATTGTGAAACTTGACTGAATTTTTTTTTGTATCATACTTAAATTTAAATTTAAATCTGGTCACCGTCATCGCATTAAATCAAAATTTTATATAAACTCAATCTATCTAGCACAACCTATCGAATCTAAATTACGACATGCCTTTTACTTTTATTATTTAGAGGAATAAAACAAAAATTTCTGATCGTACAAAATTTATTATGGTAATTTTTATATTTTGCTCAAACGTTACAACATACTTCAACATGTGTATGTACAGTAAATAATTGTGATTTCAATATATCATTTAGGGGTTGATTCAACAAACTATGACCTCAGCAGGAATAGGCCCAGCATCGGTAGCGGTGAGTCCGACATATTCTTTATAGGATCCATGCTCATGGCACGACGGGATTTTAAGTATAGCATGTTGACACATCGCTCTAACATTTAACTCATTTCACTTTGCAAACGATAAAACGCATCAAACATTTATTAACACTAGAGGTCCCGCAGTAGTCGAAATTCGACTATAATTAATTGGAATTGTAAGTTTGTACACTATTATGATTGTATTTTATACTTCTATAATCACAAATTTCGCCAAGACTACACTATAAAAAATATTAATAAAGACAAACAATATTTAATCTATTCTCAATTTGACAACAGACGTCAAGAACAAAAGTTTGACAGTAAATAGTATGCATGCGTGTGTGCGTCAAATACACGGTATGTAGTGTGTGTAATGTTTTCTTTATTTATGTATTGTATCTTTTATGCATTATTTAAAAAAAAAATTAGCATTGTGCAATTCTTCTCTATATTCTCTATACGTGTGGAAAATTTCATACTCCTTCGTCCGCGCAATTTTCGTAAAAAGGGATACAAAGTTTTTGCTTCACGTATTAATATATAGATTATGCGAATTTACGTACGAATTTTTGCTACGATCATCCAAGTTGATCGGCCGGAATTTCTAAGAGCCTCATTAAAGAGTTCTAAGCAGTTAACACAAATCTAATATTAAGCTTGTTTAGAGCACGGTTACTATAAATTTGAGCCTCGGTAAGAATTTACGCAGAGTTGATAACAATATGGTACGATTGGTAATGATTCCGATCCGATAGTAGAGCATTCGCAAAGCAACCGACCTCAAGCTGTCAAGCCCGCTTCGGAGGCGCTCGGGGAGCTGTTAGTCAATCCAAGCCCTCCCGACTAAGCCCGAGCTCACCCATCTGAACAGGTGGCAACGTCTTGAAGTCAGTGAAAACTGCGTTCAAAGCTTCAGCTACATACAAACAAACAAACGTACCTACATACCAAGCCAATAAAAGCGTGTTAAAAACAGTAAAATACCCTATTTTTTTTCTCACTAACGATCACAGTTAGCAGCTTATTAATAATCCCATAAAATATTTAATGACCGATGAAATGTTGGTCGGTCAGACATAAGCGAATAATTGAAAAGTGAAAAATTGACAGTAAGTCAGTAGTGAATGATGTTGACGTAATTTTAATGTTCACAGTCAGATGTATGTACTTAAATATTATTATATTAATCACTGCTTAATGTACATTCACTCATTTAAGAAAGCATAATAAGATTTTTCACAGATTTGATGTTCATTTTACGGAAAGAGCATTTGACTATGACAACAAAGAAACATTATTAAATAATACATTTAATACATATTTCTCATCTAACATTACGCCGCCAGTGGCAATTCGCAGAGTTTTTCTTTCGTTCTATCAAACTATGTCGAAAATATCATATGAGAGAGCCAATGGGCAATAAATGCCAAAGACCAAACTGTGATGCGTAGTGGGTCATTAGGAGGGTGATGATGATAATAATTCGTAGGTTCTTTGAAAGTTTCCAAAAGATTCGTAGCAGTAGGCATGTCCTAAGTAGGTATGCAAAGGCTCCAAGAATTCATAATAAAAAAACAGCCTACAATATTCTATTTAATACTACATATTTAGTTACTCTAAAATACACTACTTATCAATTGACATGCAACACAAAACCTCGTTCGAGAATAGACGTAAATTGTCTCAAATTAACGACACGGTTATTTTCTAACGACATTTAAAATTAAGGATGACGTTTTCAAACGACACAAAAAATAATTATCATACGCCACAATGAACACAAAACGTACTTATATTAGCGGGTAATTATTTCTACTAATTACCGAACCGAAAAAAAATCCAGGAAACGACAAGGTCACACAAAATGTAATAAGTCTCATCAAATCTTTACCTAAACACGTACTTTATTTTGTATGTTAATAGAACTGTATTAATTATCATTTAATTACATAACATATATTTCCTTGTTCGATGCGCATCTTGATTTAACAAATTTAGTTGCATTTGACGTACTTGTTGTAGTAAATACAAAAAAAAGGCATATTATTTTTAGAGATTAGATAAAATACATCATTATAATTTGTTGACGCCGGCACTTATTTTTAATTTTTTTTTTTTTTTTTTTTTTTTTTTTTTTTTTTCCAGCAAATGTTTCAAATTAACGAATCGGAATACCGAATCAGGTAAATACAAATGCTAAATTATCAAACCTTTTATGAAATAACCGATAGAGATAATATAAAGGAGAGACTTAGAAGACTAATAAAGTATAAGTAAATTATAAGTAATAAGACCTATAAATTATAATTATAAGGATAAAAACATAAAAATAAAACGGTCTGCTTGTATTTTAAAATTAGGAAACGGTACCTTACGTAAATTTAGTTTCTTCGTCATTGAAAAACACCTACGACTTTGAAAAATTAAATGTTTGTGTGAATCAGAAGTCGTCGTGGCCTAAAAGATAAGACGACCGGTGCATTCGTATCTAGCGATGCAACGGTGTCCGAATCCCGCAGGCGGGTACCAATTTTTCTAAATAAATACGTACTTAACAAATTTTCACGATTGACTTCCACGGTGAAGGAATAACATCGTGTAATAAAAATCAAACCCGTAAAATTATAATTTGCGTAATTACTGGTGGTAGGACCTCTTGTGAGTCCGCACGGGTAGGTACCACCACCCTGCCTATTTCTGCCGTGAAGCAGTAATGCGTTTCGGTTTGAAGGATGGGGCAGCCGTTGTAACCATACTGAGACCTTAGAACTTATATCTCAAGGTGGGTGGCGCATTTGCGTTGTCTATGGGCTCCAGTAACCACTTAACACCAGGCGGGCTATGAGCTCGTTCACCCATTTAAGCAATAAATAAAAAAGAATGTACTCTCGTAAAAAGTTTACTATAATATAAATCTTCTATACACAACGGATCTTTGGATTCACAAACAATTCAACTAAACACCTTCAGTGAAGTCATTTTGCATCATCATTTTCTCAAAAAAAAACCTCATTACTCACGTCCTTCGCTTCATGTGGGAAACGCTTTGTCGTACAAAATAAGACTATGTTAATTCAACTACGGTGAGGATTCATTTTGGACATGCGAATAAAATAACTATGACGCTTCTTCAAGATGTGCCATTTATAACTCTTACAACATCATATCTGGTCTAGGAAATCAATCACATATTTTAAAAAATAAACTAATAATTTAACAGCCTCTTCACCTCATTCTAACTCATCATCACCATCAATTATTATTCACCTACAGGTTTCGGTATAAAAGAAATCTGGGACTATTTGGTAGGCGGTGCTGGCTACGGGAACTACTACCCTGGGCAGTATCCGGGCAATTATCCGAGCAACTACCCGCAAGGTCCAGGGGTATATCCGAGCGGTCCGGGATACCCGGGTCAGTACGGCCCGGCGGGACCGCCCGGGGCTCATCCCGGTTGCCCCCTATGTGATTCGTCAGTGTATAGTTACTGTTCGCGTAAACAAGCCCATGATTCCTGCTGCTGCGATAATCCTTCTTGTGAGTATATTTTTTTATTACGTAACAAATCGAAATATGTCTTGGCATAATTGAGGCGGTCAGCGCAAAAGTGGCCTAACCCACAATTCATATTCGTGCTTATGTATTGTAATTTATTTAAAACATAATAAATTTTTATGCAAAATCGGCCTATCTCTAGTTTCAGTCAAGTAACAGATGACTTTGTAAACATAATTTTAGCGCGTATATTTTTGCCTACGAAGTATTGTTAAGGTAAATTCTAAATTCGTTGTAAGAAAAATGGAAATCTTAAATAATGTAATTTAATAAGGTATTATGCATAATATAATAATGTAATTTTTAAAATGGTAATCTAGTAATTAAATAATATAAATAAAAAGAAAATGTAAAAATAATTATGTTAAACGTACAATGAGAAATGTAACAGATTTAGACAATGTAATGAGAATGAGAAGTGAAAATGAAAACGTATCGGAAAAAAGTAAATGCAGGCAAAGAAACAAAATGTAAAAGAATAATCAGAGAAACGAAAATTATAAAAGAACGAAATACGAACCTAACATACAAATAGTGAACAATAAAATTGGCAAAAAAGCAAATAAGCCTAAAAAATGTCCCTGACAATGACTCGTCACGGGAACGCGCATAAATTAAAAAAAAAAACTAACTTCATTATTTCCATACTGCTTAGGCCGCTTTTGCACTGACGGCCTCAATTATGTTGATACGTCCACTACCCGACGTTGGCAAGGTTGTACTTAAACTGAAGTAACAAAAGCCAGAAAGAAAGAAAAAAAGTCTACTTGGGAAAGACTAAATTATCTCATACTAACTTATTTTGTTATGAAGTGGGACCAAGTAGAATTGAACAATTTTCGGCTGGGCACAGTATAGTTTACGACATTGTTAAAGCCAATATAATCTCTCTAAATTATGTCCTAGTAATTCATCTTAGTCGGTTGCTCTTGGCAGAGCAGTCGTGGTCATGTGGAATTCTTGTTTATTAAAGCCTTGACAGATGTTTTCCATAGTTTGCGAACCGAGGCCCGGCGCACGCACTCGTTCAGTGGGGTTTTAGTTAGGTATTTCACCTGATCAGTCCAGTGCATGGAGATTCGTCCACGAGATCTCTTACCATTGACCCTACCCTGAACAACGAGTCCTAGTAATACTATATTATTGTTATTATTTGAATGAAGAATTTTGACTAAAACTAAAAGCCAAAGAAAGAAACTTAGCGACTCGCTCGCTTCCTTAAGTTTCCAGATATAATTAAAATTACTCTAAATTACTTTTAATCTTAGAGTATATACATTATACTACATGTATACTCTAAGATTAAAAGTAATTTAGAGTAATTTCGACGAATTTGCCCTTATTAATGATTTCTTTAAACTTTCTCGAATCAAATATATTCGAACAGATTATTGAAATCTGTGTTCAACATCAAACATTTTCCATTAGTTTTAGTGGATAAAATAATAATTTATCCCTACGAAATCATTTTACTCGTTACATCTATAATTTGCATTGAAATTGTTTTAATTATTCAACGTAATCCTCAGTTCCCGGCTATGGATGTCGCAAAACGGACTGCAAGTTCCTGTACGCCAACTCTTGTGAAGAATATCAGTTGATCTCCAACTGCTGCTGTGTGGATCTTCAGAAGAATTCCGTGGACACGCCTGTCGTGGCTCCATTAATCTAAGCATAATTGAGCACTTTAACTTTACCATTTGTTCCATCTGTTTTGATTGGATTCGCATTGTGAACGCATAAAGTTAAGATAATACAAAGAGAAAAATATACTTTAAAGCAAGCTAAAGTAATTTTGGTTAACATTAAAAACGATGTCATTAAACAATACAATATAATATAATGTATGCGACATATGGACGTACTTTTTGTATCACAAAAACGTACTGATACTTTCTCTGAGAAAATCAATAATGATAATTTAGACTGTAATATAGATGGGAAGTCAAAATAAATCGATTTAGATATTTAGTTGTACACTACGAGAGGTTTGAAGCTGCAGACTGTGACAACTCACCTTCTGCTAGGCACTTAGAAGAAAAAGAGCATAACAATTTTTTTTACGACTATTTTATTACATGAAATTTTATTTTAAAACCATCCATGATCTATTTTTTAACAAACAAACACAAAATGTGATAATACTGTCGAAGTAATGTGTATGTAGGCATGTGTTAGATTTATTTTTATTTGGTAATTTGTACGGTAGGTAAAAGGCAATTAATTGTCTTGACTCGACGGTAATAACCACTAAATACATTTATTTTTGTCAATTTGAATACTGTACGTAACGTGTGCGATTGTTAAATTCACAATAAATATATGTAATTAATATTTGAAAGCGTTATTAATTTCTAATTAACATCCACACAACAGTAAGCACCTTTTTAGATTTCCGAAATCAAATGCAAGAAAACCTTTGAACTACAATGGGAAATAACAATTTTTCCAAACCTTTTTATGTGTTTTACTTTTGAATTGGATACTTGTATTTTTCTAACAGGCTTATATGCCGGAAGGATATTATACTTACATCATCATCATCAGCCTTTATCTGCCCACTGCTGGACATAGGCCTTTCCCAATGCCTCCCACAGAATGCGGTCCTCCGCCTTCCGCATCCAACGACTTCCCGCCGTGCGCACTAAGTCGTCGGTCCACCTGGTTGGAAGACGCTCTACGCTCCTGGTACCTATCCGTGGCCTCCATACGAAGCCTTTCCTCCCCCACCAGGTGTCGCTGGCTCGACAGATGTGCCCCGCCCATTGCCACTTCAGCCTGCTAGCTTTAACAGCTATGTCATAGGCTTTGGTTCTCCGTCGAATTTCTTCGTTCCGGATTTTGTCCCTTAGAGAAATAGCATAGCTCTGTCCATCGCCCGCTGTGCGACTCTTAACTTATGGGCGATCCCCGCCGTCAGTGTTCAGGTTTCCGCGCCATAGGTCATCGCGGGGAGAATGCACTGATTAAAGACTTTTGTGGTGGCGAGGTGTAGATTTTTTTTTATTGCTTAGTTGGGTGGACGAACTCACAGCCCACCTGATGTTATGTGGTTACTGGAGCCCATAGACATCTACAACGTAAACGCGCCACCCACCTTGAGATCTATATTCTAAAGTCTCAGTATAGTTACAACGGCTGCCCCACTTCAAACCGAAACGCAATACTGCTTCATGGCAGAAATAAGCGGGGCAGTGGTACCTAGGTCTACTGGTGATAGGACCTCTTGAGTCCGTACGGATACATGGTAACCATACCTACCATATGCGTTACGAGCAGTAGGCATAAATTGAACAGTACATAATTACTAAGGGTTAGAGATTCAGTCGCCAAGTCGTGGGATTCGATCGTGGTAGCCCAAGAGCCCGCGACAGCCAGACCTTCGTTATTTTATAAAAGCTGAAAGTTTCTCTGTGTATGTCTCCAACACAGGTAAGAACAACCCGCGATTATAGAGTTTCGATTGTGGTTACGTGGGCAGGTAACAGGCAGTAAAGGTATATAAAATAGTACCTTAAATTCGTTAAAGTATAAAGGTTTCTTTTTTTAATATTTACTCCAGAATATCTTTAGAAATCACGATATCCGTTGCCGGACACTTTTTCCAGTTGTTACCCCCTGCCAGACACCCCTAAACTTTAATAAATTTTAATTATACTTTCGTTATACTATAAAAGCTAAATTTTATATATGTTACTTAGGGACTTATAAAAATATGTTACCCCAATAGCCGGACAGTTTTAATGGTTCTTACATCTTGCCAGACACATTGAGAGCCCGCTGTAGGTGCGAGCGCGAGGTAGCAACTGTTCAAGCGGGTGTGAGCGAGATAGAGTGCTTAGTCTATTGTGATCTTTTACTGCACATCAGCTGTCGTTTATAGGATTTATCCGTTCTAAGCAGTGATATCGAGGCGCTACTCGGCATGGGAAGCTCTGTCATTCTGGCGGGCGACCTAAATTGTAAACACATCAGGTGGAACTCACACACCACAACCCCTAATGGCAGGCGGCTCGACGCGTTAGTCGATGATCTCGCCTTCGATATCATCGCTCCGCTAACCCCGACTCACTACCCGCTAAATATCGCGCATCGCCCGGATATACTCGACATAGCGTTATTAAAAAACGTAACTCTGCGCTTACACTCGATCGAAGTAGTTTTAGAGTTAGATTCAGACCACCGCCCCGTCATTATGAAGCTCGGTCGCGCTCCCGATTCCGTTCCCGTCACGAGGACTGTGGTGGATTGGCACACGCTGGGCATTAGCCTGGCTGAATCTGATCCACCATCGCTCCCGTTTAGCCCGGACTCTACCCCGTCTCCTCAGGATACCGCTGAAGCCATAGACATCGTAACGTCACACATCACCTCGACATTAGATAGGTCATCGAAGCAAGTTGTGGCGGAGGACTTCCTTCACCGCTTCAAATTGCCCGACGATATTAGGGAACTCCTTAGAGCTAAGAACGCTTCGATCCGCGCCTACGATAGGTATCCTACAGTGGAAAATCGTACTCGAATGCGTGCCCTACAACGCGACGTAAAGTCTCGCATCGCCGAAGTCCGAGATGCCAGATGGTCTGATTTCTTAGAAGGACTCGCGCCCTCTCAAAGGTCTTACTACCGCTTAGCTCGTACTCTCAAATCGGATACGGTAGTAGCTATGCCCCCCCTCGTAGGCCCCTCAGGCCGACTCGCTAGTTCAATATCGACGACAATGAGGAAAATTATAAGAACGATTAAATATTTTTCTTTGACATGTAATATTTTGTTTGTACTTTATAATATTAAAATAACCTTTTTTATTTTCTATAATATTGCTATGAACGTAATAAAATAATTTTTTTATTGGATATCTTAAAAGATCACAATAGACTAAGCACTCTATCTCGCTCACACCCGCTTGAACAGTTGCTACCTCGCGCTCGCACCTACAGCGGGCTCTCAATGTGTCTGGCAAGATGTAAGAACCATTAAAACTGTCCGGCTATTGGGGTAACATATTTTTATAAGTCCCTAAGTAACATATATAAAATTTAGCTTTTATAGTATAACGAAAGTATAATTAAAATTTATTAAAGTTTAGGGGTGTCTGGCAGGGGGTAACAATTGGAAAAAGTGTCCGGCAACGGATATCGTGATTTCTAAAGATATTCTGGAGTAAATATTAAAAAAAGAAACCTTTATACTTTAACGAATTTAAGGTACTATTTTATATACCTTTACTGCCTGTTACCTGCCCAAGTAACCACAATCGAAACTCTGTAATCGCGGGTCGTTCTTACCTGTGTTGGAGACATACACAGAGAATCTTTCAGCTTTTATAAAATAACGAAGGTCTGGCTGTCGCGGGCTCTTGCTCTATGGGACATTCGATCGCGTTATCTGTAAACGCGTCATGGGATAAAGCACCCAGAGTAATCGTTGTGAATTAGCATATTTTTTTTATTAGATTAAATCAAATAATCATCCGAAACTTCATAGGTAACAACTTTCATAACCTTACATTAAAGTAAGATTCCGTGTTCTTTTCTTAAATAAGTACAATTGTCAAACGATATTATTTTTATCGTAACTTACCCGTTGGTAACTTATCACTAAAGCAACGAAGTAATCAAACTAACTAACTTCCGAGGAACGTATAAACTTTTTTCGTGGTCAGCGACTATTCCGAAAAGAACTCACATAAAAAAAAAGTTTTTATTTAAAAAAAAAAAATTACATCACAACGTAGAAAAATAGGCAGAATCGCCACAAGGCTTACACTAAGGCTTTTTGTAAGTACAATCTTAACGTGCTATTTCCAATTTCAGATTTATTTTCATACTTGAAACATCAACGGCCGTCTGGTGTAGTGGTAAGTGACATGGTCACTACAGAAGGCGGTCGCGGGTTCGAATCCCGCCAAGGGAAGATATTTGTATGATAAATATAAATGTCTTTTCCAGGGTTATGGATGTATATTAAATATATGTAGGTGTATAATAAAAATCTTACATTTATATCCGTTATCTGGTACCTGTAACACAAGTTCTTTACGAACTTATCACGGGACCAGTTAACGTGGCGTGATTGTTAGTAAATATTTATTTATTACATTTATTTATTTATTCCTGTACAACAAAAAGTTCAGACCAATGTCATACTGACAAGCGTTTAAATATAAAATGTGTATTTTTTTTTATCGTTCAATGCTACATTCCCAATCTCGAACCTTCGACATCTAAGCTGAGCGACGTGCGTGATAAACATTTTTCGAGTTCGTCAAATATTAGACATAAAAATTTAATTTCAAAACATGCAAGTATCATTTTTATCGTCTAATTTGAAATCAATAGATGTTAAATTTAAGTCTGAATAAATATAGATGAATTCTGTAGAATTACTGAAAATTGAAAATCCTAAATGCCTTCAGAAGAGTATCTTCTGAAGATAACAAACTATTGTAACGCCGATAAGAGTAACGCCATCTATCGCCGAATACCAGATACGAATATCAAAGGATCTTGTAACATCTAGAACGCTCGGGTAGTACAGCGCCATCTATTGTCAGACAACGGAAGCACGCATTTAAAATACTCAACTTGTGAGGAAATGTTCTCGATAACTCTAGGGATGTCGTATCGACTATAAAAGCGTTGCAGATATGGCACGCAGTCAGTAATCGGAACTACTCGAAGCAAAACAGCGAACGGATCGCCTTGTACCAGGTAATATATAGTTTGGTGTAACTTTTTATTTATCCCGAACCAAGACTATTATTCCGGCAAGCTTTAATGATTTAAGCAACATTTACAAAACACGTATTTCGACCTTTCTACTGCTTGGGGCGGGATGCTAGAAACAGGCCATCAAATTAAATATGAACTAGTACAGATTTCCTTGGTGATATAATGTTCATTAAAAGTGAAAGCGTGGTATGTATATTAAATTCTTCAAAAAGGTTTATAGCTTAATTCGATTAAAAACATGAAACAATTGATCACACTTAATCTTGTCGAAGCCGCCGTGCTTTCCCAACTAGAAGAGAGTGCACAGATAAGGGCAGAGAGATACGTTATCAGGGAAACTTTGCAAGACTAACTGCTTCATTGCTGACGTACTTGAAATGTAATTAAATTAACACAAATATATAAGAAAGTATTTTATTTTTAGTCTTATAAATATGTCAGCAAGGACAGTTAATGAATTATCCACACACGGACAGTACACGTCCGCAGTTTACAGAACAAAAAACTGGTTTGTGTGTGAAGAGACCTCCTCCAGCACACCACGAGCTCTGCGGAGGGCATTCTCTTGCATGCAGGTAACAATGACGATTGATAAACACATTTTTTTTTTAATTATCACATGATAACTTCAAGGCAGCTGTCAGATTTGCTATCACAATACTATTGTAAATACATTTGTTTGGCAACCAATTGTGAGTATTCATGAACATAATTCAAACTACACGACAGTGGAGACAATAAAAAACAGTGAACTAGTCTCGAACCGACTACCTATTGGATGGTAGAAGGATGCGAGAAGCAAGATAGACTCTTGGTCTCGGTGACATTGTTGTAACAAATATGAATTTAATGAACAACAATAACAAAATACTGTACGACCAATTAAAAATTCTAATCTCACTAAACATGTACATGAAGACATTGTGTCAATCCGTCACGGCTACGGAACATACATATAAGTGATCTTACTAGACGGTAACATGTACAAAATATACTTGAATTTGTTTCATAAAAAAAAATTAAAATAATCAAAACTAGCGCATCCTGTAGTGATTCTTCTCGTTGACCTGACAGAGTTCCCCCTTGAAGTCGATCTCGATCTCAAAGTCCAAGTCGCGATTGTTCCTTGCGTTCTGGCGCATCGAGAATGTACCCGTTATCTCTTCGAATTTCTTTACCTGTCGACAGAACAATGTATGATGTAACTAATGGTAGTTAGTGGAATGCTACATAAATTATCTAGCATACTTGGAACATTTTGTGTTGTTCCTCTAGTGACTATTGATACAATATATCTCCTAGAACTAAAAAGATATTCTCCAATGGAAAACTTGCAAGACATATAAATCATGAACAAGCTTTATAACTTGATTAATGGATACTACGCTCTCAACAGATTTGAGTATTGAACCAATTTCAGTTGTAATATAGTCACCTTGTAATATACTGAAATGAACTTAGGGTAAAAAAAAATTCATTGAAAATAATGACACAAACATAAGTTATATTGGCCCGAAGAGCAGTGAAATTGTCTGGACGTTGAGATAATGTTGAGACCACAGGAAGGTGACATTTTAACTGTGGAACTCAAGCTACCTACATTATATGTTTTGGAAATTTATTAAAATTTATTTTCCTTTTTTTAATTGGATTTTCTATAATAGCGTATTTTGTTATTGTATTTTTAAACTATTATTAATTTTTAATTTTTTAATTGAATTTCAATTTTTTCAACTTTTTTTTTCAATTTTTTTTTTTTTTAATATTGCATTGTCATCGGTCCTTAATAAGTATACCAAATTTCGAGTTAATCCGACGTTTTGAAGGGGGTCAAAATCATGTTCAAAGATTCCGTTACATACTAACATACATACGTCTGAAGCTAATAAAAGCGTATTAAAAAGTTATACTAACCGTCATAAAATCATCAAAGTAGAAGACTGTCTGCTTCCAGTGCGTGTAGGGAGCGTCCGGCGCGGTACTGAACCCGAGACGTTTGTGTGACTTCGTGAACTCAACGTTGAAGTACGTCACTAAGGCTTGGATAAAGTCGTTCCGACGGACCTGGAAAACACAGAGTACAATTTTATCTATACAGTCAATGAATCAATATATGAAAATCTAATAACAACAAGTTCTTTGGTTTATTATTGCTTCAGACAAGCAAGATCATGAGCCACCTCCAAGATTTCCCTCACTTAGACATGAGTTCAAGTCTCAATTACATTGTGTCCTGTCCTGTCCTTTGGATCATTGCTCTGTAACCAAAATAAGCAGGAAAGTCGTCCAATACGGGAGTAAATAATCCAAAACTCATATTTCATGTTTGAAATCAATGTTTGATTCAGGTATACTGCTTTGTACAATCAAACAAGGTGGAGACTGTTTACAAATAATTGTTTTATTGTTACCAAGCGAGCTCGGCTGTAGAGCGCCGTGATAATGTTTACCTCAACCTTATTCTGAAATCAGCTTGGACTCAGAGAGATACACCTGTTGTAACCGTACATAAAACATTAAATAATGTATACAGCATTCAAGCACCGATTTTTCAAATAATAAGTACTATAAAAACTGACAGAACAACTATGTATAAACGCAAAATCATAAATCTCAATATTAAATGTTTGAAATGTATGTACAGAACCCTAAATTAAGTGATTAATTGTGTATAAAAAACTCACATGCAAATGGAATTTTGATTCAAAATTAAGATCCTCTTTCTTGACTGTGTATAAATCTATTTCTTTTAATAAGGATGAATTCGTGACAACCTGTTGACAAAACAATTAATAATTAGACAAAATAATCAAATCATTGTTACACACATACACATTTTATTTAAAAAAATTTTTAATATATATAAATAGACTCAAGAATTTATTACCTGGATCTAACTGATAGTAGTTTAAGGCACAATCAACATTTTTATTAATCCTTGTCACTTAGAAAATAAATGGCAACAATAAGATCAGATGTTAGATTTAAAATGCACTTGACAGTTGATTCAGGAGAACATTATAATAAATTGTATAATTATTATTGCCAAAATTGGATACTTTTCATAATATAAAGTGTGTTTAAATAGCTCGACAATGTGCGATGTGTAGCCATAACACGACACTGGCAGAAATTGCTGAAAGTATCGGCATATTGCCATTTATTTTTGCATTATTTCAGAGCAATAAACCTAGTTTCCTGTAACATATTTACCTGTTTAGCATCAACCACATCTACAAGGGGTTCAGATATAGCCACCTTCCTGATTGAAGACATGTCAAAGCCGTACACATCATCCCACCAGTTGATCTTCTCATCTTTGTATTGCCGATCTTCTATACCACATATAAATAATGTACATCTGTGGACATCCAGAAATACTGATGAATAAATTGTTTACTAAGGAGTTTTAAATTAGCAAGTCAGGCTGTCTCGGACATTACAAATAAAACCTATCCTAAGTGATTCCCAATACAAACTTCTTTTTTGACTTCCCTAACCCTTTGTACACACAAATTTTGTAAAATCAGTTTTAAGAGAAATTTACCAAAAAATTAATGTAAGTAAAATCAAAGGTTTTTAATAGAAGAAGTATTTTCATACACCTATGCTTTATATGGTGGATTTGCAAAATATGAGCTTTTTAAGTGAAAATTAATTATATAAAGTTATGAATATCGTTTTGGTTGGAACATTTTATAATTATCATTATTCCCTTAAAGCTAGTATTTTTAGACTTACCTATCTGGAAACATCATCCCATCTGGCTTGAGCCACTTATCTCTGGCATATAGCACCGTATCAAGCATACTCTCATAGAATAGACAGTAGCCCATCCATTCTGATATTATGATGTCCACTTTGTCAACTGGTAATTCAACTTCCTCCACCTAGGATTAAAACTTATCACATACAAATTCATATTTATATTTGGTATTTATTTGCAGTAGACAGATTAGCTCTGAACCTAACTGGTGTTAGGATATCAAAGTCCATATCATAATTTGGGACTTATTCAGTTTTCCTTTCAGTTTAGTGAAATAACAAATGCGATGTTGGTTATATACAATGTCAAATTATTCTTACCTTTCCTTTAATAATCTCAATGACATCATCGAGTCTGTTTGCCTCAATAATTTTACGAGCATAGTCAACAATGTTGGAGCACTCTATCGCTAAGACCTTGGTAGCACCTGCTTTAGCTGCAAACATCGACAGGATCCCAGTTCCACAGCCTATATCGAGGACTGTCTGTTGAGGCATAAAGATCATGCTGAATTTCATAGAATTGAAATTGTTTCTTTTTTAACAGTTCTATAGTTTATTTTGTGAAAATCAATAAATCAATTTGACAATTAAGAATACTTGACTTATCAGTATTATAGCCTGTTTATTTCTTCAAAACTTCAAACTATTCTCAGCCTGTTGAATCTATATATATAAAAATGAATTGCTGTTTGTTAGTCTCCCTAAAACTCGAGACCAGCTCGACCGATTTGCCTATTTTCGGTCTTGAATTATTTGTGAAAGTCCAGAGAAGGTTTAAAAGGTAGATTGAAAATTCTCAGAATTAAATAAAAATAATTTTCCCTTAGATGCGTCCCCTGTCGAACGGATTCCTTTTGTTTGTTTTAAGTTTATTTTATACAAAAGTTTAGGTCTTTCATTTATCGATTGAAGCACTAAAAAGTGTGCCGGGTCAGCTAGTTTTCAATAGTTATCACTCAAGACCCACAATTGCACTTATTGTTAATTTTTTATTCTACTCTAACATCACAATTCAAATGTAATTTTCCACTGCCCTTATAAAAATATTGCAATACTTTACTGTACAAGTACTGTAAGCATGGGTCAATGAGCTTACAGAACTTTTTATTTGTAATTAAACCATGTGGCGAGCGATACTCATCTCTTGAGTGCAAAGGGTTAATTAAAAAAAAGCAGGTGAGATTTAATTCATATCTCAAAGATAAAATTCTGTCATTGATGAAAATAAGGGGGTTCATTAATCATAAGTTGACATGATGCTGCTACTATGATGCTACACTACCTATAATAAACTAAGCAGATAATATGTATCAATACAAATGTAATCACAGTCAAAGAATTCAGAGAACTAAAAGATTGTGAGATTTCAAGATTACCCAAATGCAATATCTACCTAAATCTTAATAAATGATTAATTTTTTTAGGTTGTTATAAAACAAAGTACTATAAAACACACCGATAAAGTTCTAAGTTAGGTACTTATAACGTGAACAAAGACAAAAGAAAAGATTACTTAGCCACTATTCATTGGTAGATAATACATTAAGCTTTTTGTAGTAAAATGACAGAAACGCTAACCAAGTACATACCTTTCCTTGAAATAAATGCTTATTGTGGTACATGGCATTTTTGTAGGTGAGAGTGCGGACTTCATCTTTTAACATTTCCTCGTGGATGCCGAAATGTGCATATGAGTCGAAATAATAATCCCTCGACGTCATTTCTTCGGCAGTAACATTCTTGTCAGGTCCTGGATACCGGTAATTTAGTTTTACATCAAGCACGTTTTTGTTCCCGCGACGCCATGAATGACCGGCGTCATTTAGAAAAACATTTAAAGAACTCACCATTTTCCACAACAGGCGTTGAAACCGTCGATGTTCCTTCTTGAGCTACGTCCATTGTTTCCATTTTTATAATTTAATTATCAAAATTAGTTATTTTTAACAATATAACCTGAATATTTTCTGCGACAAATCGATCTGTCACAGACTAAGTACTAACAAAGTAATAATAAATTCATACAACTAAATATAGTTTTATACAACTAACGACAAGCTTAAAGCTTAATAGGGTTACTTAATTAGTAGATTTGTACAGTATTTAATGAGATTTTAATAAAAGCGATAGAAAACGCTCGCACGCCACTCGAGCTTTTTTTCCACCAAAATTAAAAGACATTTCAAATGTTGCCTGTCCACAAACTCAAATCCACCAAGTCATTGTATTGCATTGATATTGCATAGAAAACATAATTTCTATCTTTAAAAAAAAAAACCAATTTAAAATTTAGGTAAAATATTTGGTTTACTGTCCGAATTCGTTTATTTCAGAAATAACTACTTAAAAAAATGCAAAAAAATCAAATATACATGTTGCTCTTTCTTGCAACATTAAAAATGGAATCTGGTAATGTTATATTATCTATGGTTAATGTTGTTCTATTCGGTATGGAATACCATAAAATTATTGGTATTCTGTTATGATGAAATCGATTTAGTTTTTTTTAAGATTTGGCCAGATAGCTACAGTGATAAAATCAATATTCCGAATCATCATCATTAATTTTTTTTTTTTCCACTCTGGTACAAGCGAGCTTACGATTCACTTTTTTTAATGCCCTTGTAGGCAGACGACATACGGCCCACCTGATGATTAATGGTTAGCCAAGCCACTGCCTACCATTAAGTACTCTCTTACTAAGTACTTTTGTTTACCGGTTTTAGCAGCCTTTAAGCCTAAGGACTATATAATCTAAGTTATTTAATTGAATAAATATTGTCTAAATATAATAAAATATAGTCTAAAAATACAATAATATATTCTATCAGGTATTCAGTCAACCATCAATAAAACTCCAACCGAACTGTAGGAAAACCAATAAAGTTGTAAACATAGTAGACAGTCTGCTCGCTGGATCAAACTTTAGTCCTGATCATTTCACTAAAAACCAAGGAATTTTATCAGCCGGCATATGATACATTGATACTTTTTTCTTCTCTCTATGAAATACCTAAAAATAAATCACAGCGTTTAACATTAATTTAAATACTTAAAGGTATATGTATCTATCTTCTGTTGCCATTCACTCAATTGTGAAACTTGATAGAGTTTACATTAGCAATCCAGAGATGCTTTCTGGCATAATACCAGCGTATCATGTTAGTCCACGTACGCAGTCCGTTACCACGAAAACAGTGTGCTTAGTGCGAGTTTTTTAACGTTCTCGATAGCGTAGAAGTCAACCCTAATTTGTAAGCAATTGGAACAGCGCCCTTGCGGCAAACGTAAGCAAACGTTTCAACTCCATACAAATTTGAGTTAACTTTTACGCTACCGAGAACTTTAAAAAACTCGCACTATTCGGAGCCCGCACGGGTAGGTACCACCATTGTACTTGTTTGTACCGCAAAACAGTTATGCATTCAAGTTTGAAGAGTCTTTATACAATACAATTAAAACTATGAACGATATTTTAAAGTGGATGGCGATATTCATGTTGTACTGTTTATAAGCCCCGGTGTTCAATTAACAAAAGTTGACCGAGAGCTAGACGTAGAGAAAAAAAAAGTACGTGTGGCACTCGGGGACTGCCGCGGTAAAGCTATTGCAAAGCATTTTTTATCAACTTATGCAATTACAATTAGACGATAATAATTTAATATTAAAACAATAGTAAAAATAAGACCATGCTATATTTATAAAAATTAATAAAACCAAAACATTAACTGTCCCCTTCACACTCATAAGCTAGACCGCGTGAGAGAGAGTTGGGCAGACTTTTCATTATGCTCATGCAGTGCGACGTCACGCCGCGCGCTTATTCACAAACACTACACCAGCGCAACGTGTGAATGTGTTGAACGCGAGCTACATAGTAGACTATATAGTAGGTGTCAGGTTATTTTCGTTACGGAATTTCTTGATTCAGTCGCCGCGCTCAAGGCCCGCGATAGAAGCTATGCAACAGCTTAAAAAAAACAAAAAGAAGATAGTAGAACAAGGAGCTTAAAACACAAAACATTGGAACGGGTACAACTAAATTTATAACAATGTTGCTTAGACAGCAGCCGCTTGCATAATAGAAATAATTAATGCAGACTAGCTGACCCGGCAGACTTCGTAATGCCTCAATCGATAAATAAAAGACCTAAACTTTTGTATAAAATAAACTTAAAACAAACAAAAGGAATCCGTCCGACGGGGGACACATCAAAGGAAAAACAAAATTGTTATTTTTATTTAATTCCGAGCATTTTCATATTTATCTACCTTTTAAGCTTCCACAAACTCTGGACTTCCACAAATAATTCAAGACCAAAATTAGCCAAATCGGTCCAGCCGTTCTCGAGTTTTAGCGAGTCTAACGAACAGCAATTCATTTATGTATATATAGATAGATAGATTAATGTCTAAACGCATGGCGTGTTTCGATTCAATGAAACCGTCATCGGCCACCAGTACATTTAGTTAGGCGACACGTACTAGTAGGTACGTGGTTGTTATTTAGTTTATCGGTCTGTGTTCGCGTCGTTCAGTCGTTGTTGCGGTGCGCGCGAAGCTACCGTTTGCCACAAATTAATTTGGCGCGAAAATTAGACGTTAAATAAGTTTAACTGTGACATCTAGATCAGTAGAGTGATTATTGACAGGGGATAGCCCACAGGTGCATCGATTTTTTTTATCTAATTCTGTATTTAGGCAACGGTATTTTAACAGGTACGTATTCTATTTACAGTTTTGAAACAAAATTAATTATGTAGTTTGTATAATAAAAAATTAAAACACTAATAACTATTATTATTTATAACAATGTTGGATGGATAGAACAGTTTTATTCCAATACAATGTAGTCTTATTTGTTTTAAGGTCGTGGCAGCATTCTTGCTGTGGTTTCGTTGGCCGCTTAATACTAAAATTGTGGTGGGCTTGTATCTGCTGCTAGTAAAAGACAATATAAAATCAATTTCTCCAATAAAATTCAAAAATCTTAAATTCAAATATTAATTTTGTTTACTAATTTATTAATTTTGTTGTATTTTTGTGTTTATTAATTTTGTTGTAAGATTAGATATCTTATCGTAAGCCCTTTGCTACAAAAAACATAACGGCATCAAACATTTACATAAATTTGAATTTCGAACGTAATGGAAGCAAAATAATGAGTAAGAGGATGATAGCAATGTCTGTACGGAAATGAAAATAAATTTATCACAGAAACACATGCATTATTTATCCATCCAACTTTCAATACATTACAAATACGATGATCAGACGACGATGTCAACCTATTTAATGACAAACGAGAACAGAAAAATTGTTCAGTAAATCTAAGTCATATTTAATTTTGATGACCTAAGTTTATTTTTTTCATGTAAAAAGACACGTGCTGAAAATACTAAAAGCCACCATCGATTTCTTTTTTTTTTTTTAAATACTTACCATCACAAACGGAGCACTTGTTTGGAGTTTTAAAGCTTTACACATATATTTTTTTCAATAAAAAGAAAAAAGTCTAGTCAAGAACACTATTTCGTTACTTTTGATAGGTGTTCCGAAAAAAAAACATACTTTCCAAATAATTTAACGCCATAATCGATTCAATTTAATAAAATACATAATTTAATTTCATTATCTACGCGTAGCTTAAGTAAGATCATCGAGAAATAAATTATACTTAATCGTACATAATTAACGATATAGTCAGACATCAATTTAAATAAACTAGAGGTGCCGCAGTAGTCGAAATTCGACTATAATTAATTGGATTTGTAAGTTTGTACACTATTATGATTGTATTTTATACTTCTATAATCACAAATTTCGCCAAGACTACATTATAAAAAATATTAACAAAGACAAACAATATTTAAATCTATTCTCAATTTGACAACAGACGTCAAGCACAAAAGTTTGACAATAAATAGTATGCATGCGTGTGTGCGTCAAATACATGGTATGTAGTTGTGTAATGTTTTCTTTATTGATTTAATGTATCTTTTATGCATTATCTTTTATGCATACTCCTCCGTCCGCACAATTTTCGTAAAAAGGGATACAAAGTTTTTGCTTCACGTATTAATATATAGATATTCCTACCACTTCGATAAATCGGCACGACACGAGAACCCTCTCATCGTGGCCGCCGGTAACTACATTCCCGATCCTGCGGACAGAATGTAAAGCAGTCGACGTCGCCCAAAACACGTCATCTCGGATCCTCCCGATCCACTAACGGTGCTTTTAGGTACTTCAAGCACCGGTCACCGTTCTCGTCGAACCCGTCGCTTGCGACGAAGGGCTCGACGAGTAAATTAACTCTCAGACACAGCCCACTGAGTTTCTCGCCGGATCTTCTCAGTGGGTCGCGTTTCCGATCCGGTGGTAGNACCGTTCTCGTCGAACCCGTCGCTTGCGACGAAGGGCTCGACGAGTAAATTAACTCTCAGACACAGCCCACTGAGTTTCTCGCCGGATCTTCTCAGTGGGTCGCGTTTCCGATCCGGTGGTAGATTCTGCGAAGCACGGCTCTTGCTAGGGTTCGTGTTAGCAACGTCATCAGGTTTGAGCTCCGTGAGCTCACCTACTAAAGTTAGGGTTACGCTGAAATAGCCACTAGGGCTATCAAAAAAAAAAAAAAAAGATATTCCTATCCGTTTGCTCGGGGCATTCAAAAATTTCAAAGTACCATTATTAATGTCATTTCTATAATTATTTCGTTTTGTAAATATTTCTACGAGATATTTTTTTTTTGTTTATCTTGTTTACCGATAAACTCAAAAATGTATTGCTAATATATAACTTTTTTTTTTATTGCTTAGATGGGTGGACGAGCTCACAGCCCATCTGGTGTTAAGTGGTTACTGGAGCCCAAAGACATGTACAACGTAAATGCGCCACCCACCTTGAGATATAAGTTTAGAACTTCTCAGTATAGTTACAACGGCTGCCCCACTCTTCAAACCGAAACGCATTACTGCGTCATGGCAAAATTAGGCGGGGTGGTGGTACCTACCCGTGCGGACTCACAAGATGTCCTACCGCGAGTAAATATACCACCAGTAAATGACTATATTCGATTATGGTTTTTTCGTGTTTTAGGATTTTTAAAACACGTATACGAGACAAGCACCAGCATAAAATACCAAATATCTTCAACGAAGACATTGACTATCAAAGGCTCTTCGAACCCGGACTCTAGTATCGTTATCAGGATCATTAACTAATAGACCAACAAAGCGATTAATTGAAATATTTTCTCTTGTTTCCGACAATCTGCGTAGTCGCATTCTTTATAAAAATTTTAAGTCTTACGCAGTGCGCATGAACCAAATAGACCTAACTCTTAAACTATAATCTCTACATAATATTAAATAAGGCTGTATGTGCACAATAGAGCAACCGAAATTTCTGAACGTGTGGTAAATGCCAAAGCAATCAAATCAAATCAAATAAAAAAAAAATATTCAACATAAATGAAAGTACATACTTGTTGAACGTCAAAAAGAACTACCACCAATTCACAAAAACTAGCCTCCGTCCTGAGGAGAACTGGCAAGAAACTCAGCGGGCATGTTTTTTTTTAATATTACATATTTTTTTTATATTAGTTTTTACAATGTGTATTATAACGTAACAATTATTGCAATATTGAAATGCCTGGAGCGAGCAACTCATTCCCACTTCGTGCAATATTCTAGATAATCATTGACTTTATAGTAAGCTTTATTGCACAGATGTTCTAATAGTTTTCTTAAACCTATGTATAATATGTAGGTTCTGAACATCTTGTGGGATTTTTTTGTACAGGCGCACAGACAAACACCTGATGAATTTCGTATCTTATGTAACCTACTCATCGGCACAACAAGCCTGTGTTTGTAGGACGGCCCTAGCTATTTCCTGCTGCAAATAAATAAATGAATGATCTAGAAGCAATCGCAGACGAGATTTTATGGAATGTGGTAGGACCTCTTGTGAGTCCGCACGGGTAGGTACCACGTCTATTTACGGCTCGGTGGAGTGATGATCTGTGCAGGGTGCAGGGATCTTTTGAAGTCGTCATGGCCTAAAGGATTAGACGTCAGGTGAATTCGTGTTGGTTTTCGAATCCCAGGCGGGTACCAATTTTTCTAATGCATTACGTACTCAACAAATGTTTACGATTGACTTCCACGGTGAAGGAATAACATCGTGTAATAAAATTCAAACCCGCAAAATTATAATTTGCATGATTACTGGTGGTAGGACAACTGAGTCCGCGCGGGTCGGTACCACCACCCCGCCTATTTCTGCCGTGAAGTAGTAATGCGTTTCGGTTTCAAGGGTGGAGCAGCCGTTGTAACTATACTGAGACCTTAGAACTCTTAACTCAAGGTTGGTGGCGGCATTTACGTTTTAGAAGGGCTTCGGTAATTACTTTACACCAGGTGGGCCGTGAGCTCGCCCAAGTGGGTTGATTAACAATATTAAGTGAGCCGCAAGTCAAAGTAATAAAACTTAAAATAATGTTGGCTGCGTAGAACGAAACACATAAAAACAGCGTGGAACGGAGCGACAAAGTGTGAATGAGAGAAGATTGCAAGAAAGGGAAAAAGAAAGCAATATGGCGAGCACAATGAGGTGTGTGCACAGATCATACCATGATAATACACTTAATATTTGAGGGTGTGTATGAAAGATGTCAGCAAAGTCAAGCTCGGTGAAGCTCTCAAATATATTAAGTGTATAATCTATGGTGAAGCTAGCATAGCCCCTTGAGGTTACTAGCAATAGGTGGGGAAAAAGCTTCAATTAATTTTAGTTGTAATAGTAGGGAAGATATAGTGTGAAACAATCACCTACTAGTTCTGTGAATCTACTATAACCCCTCGAGGTTACTATTTTTTTTTTTTTATTGCCTTTGTAGGCAGACGAGAGCATACGGCCCACCTGATGGTGAGTGGTTACCGTCGCCCATGGACTTCAGCAATGCCAAGGGCAGAGCCAAGCCGCTGCCTACCGCTAAGGTTACTATAAAAGGCAGAAGAAAAAAAAGATAAATAAATAAATAAAATTACATCGTTAATCCAGTTACGTTAGTAACTAATTAAGAATATTATCGCATACACGTAACTCAAGTTCTTACAGTAATCACGTGTATGAGCAGTCTCATTACATGAAAGTCTCAACACGTAAGATAAAATCAAAAAGATCGTAACCTTTTTTTAATTGAATATCAATTGAATGTATGTAGTAAAATTATCGCAAGTACCGCAACAATGTGTTCGTCGTTATCGCAGCTCCCCTCGGAGCCTGATAAGGGTTTTAGATACGCGCCAGACACTAAAGCTTGTCATTGGATCGATATTTTGTGTGACATTAAACATATTATTATTTTAGCGACAAAAATACTTTGTAACTTTGTAACTCATAATCTCTTAATATATTTTTTTAGTGTGGCAATTAACCTTTTGTCATGTCGTTGTTGCCAGGGTTAAGTTTCTAAAAAATTTTAATGTTTAAATAAATACATACCTATTTTGGAAAATTAAGTTGATTATTTAAATTTGCTGAATCTTTGGTGAAATTTGTGTTAAATATATTATAATAATTAAATATATTTATCATGCCAATGATAGGTACGCTGGAAAGGCATAAATAAAAAATTTAATCCTTTCTAAACATGATGGTCACGATCCTCAGCATTAAGGAAACGACGNTTTTAATGTTTAAATAAA